AAGAAACTTATAGCAAAATTTGAGCAAAATATAGAGGCCCAAAATTTTATTTTCCCTATATTTAATGTTGTTGTGACAGAACTGGACAGTGCATGGTCTTTACTGGGGTAGCTATAAGATACATCGGCCAAGTGTTCTTGAAGATTCTGTCAGGGAGCTACTTTGCTGGCTGGCAAGAGGCTTGATTTCTATCCACATTTCTCATTCCTACCGGCTTGAAGAGGTCAGGATTTTTTCCATTGTGCGCATTTGTTCTTTTAATTTGAGGTCTAACCTTGGCTAAATGGAGTCGATCCCCCTAAATGTTGCCAGTCGCGTCATTAGATCTTCCTAGGTTCTGTTAAGAAACATACTATTACAGGTTGGATAGCAATTCTCTAGAAGAAACTTTATTGCCTGATTTCTTAATTTAGTGAATTGCTCCTGAAATCCCTAATGAATAAACATGAAGTGAATTGAGAGAGGAGGTCAAACAGAGGAATAATTTGACTTTATTCTATCATCACGGTAGCAGAAGATTATGAGAAAATTGCAAGTTTTTAACTATACTTGTTTGCTTTAGTACCCACTTGTCTATCAAAGGGTGGGTGTTTCAGGGAAAACGTTTTTGAAGGCCAAAGATGTCAGCATTTCTTTGCACTCACTGTTCCATTTCCCCACTTTTCTCCATCTGATGTGGACTCCGTGATGTAGAAACTAGTACTCTTGTCCTTCGTAGCAGCATGCCATATAGTAATAGTATGGACATGACACCTGGTGTCAAATTGAGGTCCATCAAACTACGCTGCACATTTATACAGTGCAAACATATTAAGATAAAACTATGAATAGCACTGGAGTATTTTTGCAGTCTAGGCAGTACTTTTTGACATTAAATCTGGAAAAGCGTGAAAAGCATCGGAAGGTATATATATAAATTTATGATCCCAATCCCGTAGCTGAATAGATTCTTGAGATTTATTGTTTCATTAAGCTAAATCAGTGAGTAGCTAATATTTAGGACATTTGGACTGAGTCATGGTAATCATATCTTGCAATGGAGATGAAGTTGAAGAAGACAAAGTGGTTATGGATCTGTGGGATAGATATCTTGTAACCTCAACGAAATATGATAGTTGCATGTAAATCTATGCTGGATGTTTGTAATGGCTAGTTGATTTCTGCCATCCCTTTGAATGTTTTTAACATTAATCTCTCTCTAATATTATCAGTTAAGATATAACATACAAGGAATATCTATGTTCTTAGGAATTAACGATTTTGAAATGATCTGTCCTTGCAGGCCAACCTGGCTTTTGCTGCTATCAGAGATAGAAAAGCTATTGGGAAGGTGATGATTGTTTTTGATGAGAAACGTCCCATATCAAAGCTGTGACTCCGCTAACATTGAAGGACTTTGCCTAATTTGTGGTGCCCTTTGATGCCTGGATAACATTTTCCAATAAATGTGTGGGGCAGCACTTTGCTCCACTGGTGATATGCTGCCTGTTAAAGATGCTCATACCTCATTTTTAGTCATTGTCTGATGAAGTCTAATAATCATATATATATATATATATATAGAATCAAAATTACTGTATAATCCATGTTTGCCTCGTAAAATATGCAAATTTATTTTTAAAATGCAGAGGGCCTTTTTTTTTTTTTTTAGGCAAAGAGGGCCAAAATCCAGTCTCTTCTGAAATTAACTCTGCACGGGAATTTTAGGCTGTGGCTTGATCGACCCCTGGTCTATACCCGGCTTCGACCTGGTTTTTAATTCGGCCTGTTAGTCGGGCGAAGTGGAATTACAACTCTTAAAATTGTAAAGTGACCCATTTCTAGTTTTTCTATTTTTAATTATAATATTATTATTTTTTTTTGTTTATTTTCAGGCGAGGATTAGCCTATAAATGGGTAAATGTATGTCTATAATAAAAAGAGATAATTGCTGAAAAGTTTCTGTTCAGCAAATTTATTGTGCAAAAAGATCTGAGATCATTTAAAGGACTAACGTCCTTTAGGGCAAATAGATATGCAGAGGAAATGAATAAATTGCTCTTAAATGAAGACATGCAGTAAATTTCTGAGTATCACAAGAATATGTGCCTGAAAATATATTAATAGAAGAAATTTTTTGAAAACATGGAGGGTGCATGGGAGACAACTTGCAAACATGATTTCTTCAGTGTTCATAAATGAAAAATGCATAAGATTAAAAAATTTGCATACGGCGAAGAAGATTGTACGTGTGAAGGATAACTTGCACATACTATTTTTCCAGTGTGTGTTGAATTTTTTTTTTTTGAGTAAAAAAAAAACTTCATTCATAAAAAAGTAAACAATTATAAACTAAAGGAAAAATATAAGAAAAAAAAGACAAAGGACCCTCTAAGGAACCAAAAAGAAGCCTAATGAGGGGGCAAGTGATACAAGTTAAAATCACAAGAGACACTATGTGCCAACTTAGTAAAATAGTTAGCACCCTTGTTGTTTTCTTTGTACAAAAAATGAATATTAACATTTCAATTTCTAATTAAAAGCCTTCTAGTAACCTGTATTATATCGTAGAAGGGATGGTAACTGTGATTGTTCCTTGTGATAGTGAAAATAGGGTACACCTTATCACAAAATACCTTCACAACTCTATATCCTTTCTTCCAGCATAAATTTAACCCATAAAAACTCTCATAAATTTTCATAATGCCAGTAGAAACATGGTCCAGCTTTTGATTAAAACCAAAAATCCAATTCTCAGTATTGTCTCTCAAAATACTACTACACACACTACGCTCATCATTAAGAACAAACCCGTCCATCTCTAATCTAATTGCATCCATTCCCAATTGATGAGGATGATTAGCAAAATAAAGACCTTTATGATTTCTAACTTGAGTAAGAATCTCCGTATTAGCAACCACTTTGAAGAGAAAAGAAAAGGAGTCTTTCATAATGTCTTCTTTCTTCGCTTGAAAGGTAGTCTTGCATTTAACTTTTAAATATTTAAACAAATACAAGTAAAAAGAACGTTCCAAGAAACAAATTCCATAAAATGATTACCAACGTGAACTTTTAAATTTCATAATATCCACTTTCTTCTATTTAAGTTAAAAAATTTATCCATAACATCTAGTTGTACATATTCATTTCACTATTTTTTAGCATGCGGACAGTCTTTGATGGAAGAAACACGCATGTTTCTTTTGTGTGTATGATACGTAATCTTTCTTCCATCGCATGCATGTTTTTTCAACGGCATGCATTTTTCTTCCATGACCATTAAATAAATCATCTTCAAGTTGTCTTCTATATATGTAAGCCTTCTTTAACATCATGGAATGCTTTTTTCCATGTTCTAAAAATTCTCACCCATTAACGTCTTTTACAAAAATTGTTTCTTTCTCCCGCAAAGTTACATGTCTTCAGGAAGAATTGTCTTCTTTCAAGAAAATTTGTTTCTTTTTATCGAAAAGTTTAATTTTATGTTTTCAAGAAAATTGTAATCATATTCTAAAAAATTATCCATGTTTTCATTTAGGGCAATTTCATCATTTTTTTCTCATATATATTTTCTAAAAAAAATAACAGTAAAATCTCTTTAAATTATATAAATGATAATTTAATCCTTTAAAATATCATAATTTTATTAAAAATAAAATAAATTTATATAAATGATTAAATTATCCTTATTAAAAATAAAATAATTGTAAGTTTTATTTAAATAATTATAATTTTTTTCTTGTATTCGCAACAATATAATAATAAATAACAGTTTCGCATGTCAAATTTTTAATATTATTATATGAGCAATTTAATCATTTACATAAATTCATTAATAATAATTTTTTTTAAAAAATTCAATAAAATTATAACATTTTAAGAGATCAGATTGTTATTTATATAATTTAGAGAGATTTTATTATTATTTTCTCTATTTTTCGATCCTAGCTAAAATCATTTCAGGTCATTTTGTACAATAAATTTGGGGTTCCTTTTAGTAGAAATCATGAATATTTTACGTGACGTGATTGATGGGAGTCATTCACTGATGACTGAACTGCATATAGTAATATAGCTGTATTTCACCGATGCATGCTTCAATAACCTTGCGGCGCAAGAGACGCGTTATGGCAAGCGGAAAGAACAGGAGCCTGTCATATGATTGTGCAGGGGATCGGACGAATATGGATGAGAACAACTTAAGAAAGCTCCAGCTGACAGCATGTGAATGAGACAAACACATCATGAACCACACCATTCGAATGCTGTGGAAAACAGACAGCATAATCCCCAAGGATTTGCCGGAGTTTCGTATGATGAAGCAACTTCAGATCCAGAGTGGCAGCAGAGAGTCACCAACATAAGTAGTCGTGCGCTTGTGAACAACGACGGTGGTTGCACAAACCTCAGACCCAAAAATAACTTCAGCAATGCATCTGGTCTGAATTGCGGAGAAGCTGTCAGTACATGCTGGAAATTGAAGTGATGAGGCGATACTATGTAATTTCTGTCAAAACAGAAAAGAAAATATTACCCATATTACTTACGTGGAACAATGAGGGAAGGAAGATATGAAAGAAAACGTAGGGACTAGCAAGGGCAAGGAAATTCTACCAAGTTAGTGATTATCAACTGTACTCAACGCCAACAATTTGAGTATATCGACATGTTTCAACTTCTTATTCAGCAGTTTCTTAACTGGGCACTGCTAAGCTTGATTTCAACTACCAAATGCCAAGCAATTACTCATAGCGATGCTGATTTAGAAATTCAAAATATGGATGCAGGTGATAAAAGGACATTTATAATGAAAGTCAAGTAGGATTTGGATTCGATGACTGTACTTAATACAGGTACAAATATATTTGTACTATCTGAATCATTAAAGTTCAGATTAACGATTAAGATAAATTCACTTATTTATTAATCTTAAATAAAGTATAAATTCATAACAGTACAAATCCATTAATATACCGTATTATTTATTATTTCTCTGATGAGCTTCAGTTCTAGGCAATTCCTTCTTCAAAAACTGCTAGATATATGCACACGAGTCATCGTGTGATGGTAAAATTGACAACACTGATTTTGTTAAACTAACATAAACGTGTTAACTCCTACAACCAATAAAAAATATGGAATACATGTCGAGCGAGAGACCAAATGGAGAATTGCTTGTCCTATTTTTCATGGATGATGTGCGCGCGCGCGCGGCCGGGAACGTACATGACTCAAATTAGTCTGATCTGCACCTCTCCATTTTCAACCTAGCTATTTATACTCTCTCTCTCTCTATATATATATAGTTGCTAACTTCTGATGGACATGCCAATTGTTTAATTGCAACTTGATTCTCTATTTGCTATACATGAACAGTGAACAATTATCATATCCATAATCTGATCTGGAAATCCGAGTCCATTTTAAAATTTTCCCTTCTTTTGAGAGGACTTTCTATGTGTATACACAGTTACGCGCGGGGACACAAATTCAGAATCCACTTGAAGAAGATAGGAACTTGAGCTTTATCCAGAGCATATCCGGATTTCATTTGTCAGTACCAATATGCACCACCTATTTCCAGGTCACATTTTGCACGAATTCATATATATTTTTTGTGGCGGGTAGTGGCACGAAAAAGAAGACAGAATCATGCATTGTTGGGTAAGAACCCATTATCAACGTCTGTGAAAATTGTGCAGGCGCAACTTCTCGAGGAGGTGTCTGTTGGAAGTCTTGAATAAATTTTAGAAAATTATACTATATTAACTGATTAACCTGTAACTCAGAATGTGGAACTCAGGAGAGTGCATGTGGATATTTCCACTTAAGTAACAAACATGCCTTGGAAAATGAAAGAAAATAAGATCAGTTGTTCTCAGTGCGCTCCCCTCTGTGTGTGTGTGTGTGTGTGTGTCTGAGCATATATATATATATATATATATATGATCTGCGATCTGATTCCACAAGGACCAGCTTCAACTTCTGTCTGCTGATCAGGGTTTAAATATATATAATATAGCTGTGCATATATCTTCTGAAATCTCCCCGCACTCCACAGTAACTATATACATATATATTGAATTTGCAACGAATGAAATACAAATATATTCAGTAGAAAATAAAGTCCAAAACTCCTGATCATATATATATATATATATATATGATACCGTACGTTGGTGATCGGCAAGATAGATATTTTCTTAATTAAAACACTGCTTTAGCAGGACCAAAAGCAGATAAGGCGAAGTGAATTTGATACAAGTAGTCTATTATACATTTACACGGACAAAATTAAACATGCATGTGCTCCAGAAAAAGCGGATCAATCAATCAGCAGAAAAGGTGAAAGCGCCAAGTATGGCTACCTACCTAGGTACGTCTCCAGCTTCCTGAGTTGCAATTTACAAAGCAAAATTATAATCATCTTCATCTTCGACTTTTGAACTGTTCATACATGTCAATGGATCTCCATTGCCTCATGCTATAACTCTCTTGCAAAGAGTATTCTAAATTCCAATATAAATGACAATTTCATATTTTATTGTTATTCATAATTTCAATTAACTTCTAATTTAGTTCACGTAATATTTAAAAAAATGTCAGTATGCAAGTGTAAAATTTATATAAAAAAAGGTTACAATTTTCATATATAAGCCGCGAACAGCATAATTCATTTTTATATTCTGTGCAATAAAAATACGGGGACCATCCATCTAACAGTACAACGAGAAAAGTTTAACAATAAGAACTAAAATAAAATCTATTGAATTATAATAAGAAAATTAAAATTATTAGAAATATTAATAAGCCAACATAAATTGCTAAATCTTGGGCACGGTGGTTAACGTACTTACAAGGTCCGAAGAAGTAGATGAAGATTATGAAACATCGACACTAGAGTGCGTGCCTTGAGAAGTTTTAGTGAAGAAGGAGGGTGATGAGAAGAGAAAGAGAAATCAAGGAGCTCCCTTCAGTCCAAGCACAGAGAAAGAGGGAAGCAAAATATCTGCTGCTTCATTCACACAATCACAGTAGCAAAACGATCTAGCTTAATCCCTACTGAGTATGTGTATGAATGACTCAGCAGTTACTTCAGCAACCCTTCATTCTTCATCCATGAGTGGGCTGAAGGAAGCTCCTACTTTTCGCCCTCTTATTGTCTCCTCACAGACATGCTTTTATATCCTTAACCTGTGTTAGCATAAGAACTTAGTATTATGTCATGACCTCAGCTGCATGATCTAAAAGATGATAAAACAACATAGCTAAATCAATTGATGAAAAGGCTCAAACAAAGGCCCATTTGCTCTCTTATATGTATGAAGGAATTATTAGCTGAGTATTAATTAACTTCAAAAGAGAAAAGTAGGAACGTTTGAGAAAGGATTTTATATAGGGAAATAAGATGAAAGGTTAATTACAAGAAACAGCAGCAGGCCATAGAGAACTCTTTTGTCACAGCAAGCTAAAGATTTTAATTATGATCTCCAGCTGCATGGTATGAACATGAATTATTCTAAATTACTAGCTAGTTAGCTGGCCTGATGAAGGAATTCCTCCAGCAGAAGAAAGAATTAGCTTGTCAAAGTAAGATTTGCAAGAATTGCCCGCATAGAAGCATGAAAATACTATAAAAGAACACTTGAAGAAGGTCTAAATAAAAGCAAGCCTGAAAAAAAAGAAATAGAAAGTCAAGCTAGCTAGGGGCACCAAGAAGAAAGAAAGGCAGGAGGGCCATATATCAGCAAAAACACATATCGATCGTAATGACCAACAAGCTAACTGACGAGAGCATATCAAAGTTAGTTCATGGCATCACAAAATAGTCAAACTATATATGCCATTCTTAAAAACCCTTTCATAAACATCGGTGCCGCAGGAAACAAATAGATTAAATTAAAAGCTCATAACACTTCGACTTAGTAAAGGAATCACCCTACTTTTGCGAACCACCGGACCCATGAATTAGAAGATTAAGAATATATAATAATGATGGACTAATGGTATAGCTAGAACATCGGACAGGCTTACCTTGGTTACCAAACTAATTGATCAAGAATTTGTGAAAGAGAAGAAAACATAGATCTCCCGTATTCTTCAGGCTATGCAAGCCGGAGCTTCGTAATTAGAGACGCAAGAAAAGGATATGCTTTTGAAAGTTGAACATGTCCGAGAACAGAACCTCAATATATAGTCAATCTGCCAGAAACCCTAATTCTGGCATGCTTTTTATGAAAATCTCCGCCTGAGCCTGCACAGGAGGAAAAAATGAGAGATATAAAGAACCGAAAACTATGATATGTAAAGACCAAAAAGGACTTGTATAGCTTGAGGATGTCCGCTGGATTTTTTTTTTGGGGAAAAAAATCTTTTTTATTGTTAATTTGTGATTCTTTTTCGGGAGCTAAAAAAGGAGAATTCAAAAGAGACATGATGATGTTGATGATGATAATGAGTCATTGTCGTCATGAGAGTCAGAGACAGGGAAATGAATCCAGGTTGTAATCTAGTGACACAACCTTATGGGGCTAGGGAGAATCCGAATAACAATAAATTTCATTATTTGTACGGGCAGGGAGAGCTATTCTGCAGAAGCAAACAGGCAATGATGCTCTAAAGATACAAGTACAAATATAGTAGAAGCGTTAAATAAATTGAGGGGGGACAATATATATACGAGCTATGGCCTTTTGTGGGAATGTGAGGAGAATGGATAAAAATGGTGCTTGGTTTGATTTATAATTACAGAGAGAAAAGAAAAGGGGAGAGGGATAGAGACAACCGACACCTTCCTGTCATTTTCGAAGCGACTGTTCAAGCGCTATAACTTGAAAAATCTAATGCGCTGTCTCAAATACAAATATGTGCCGTTAGTTTTAGCACCGTGCATCCCCACTGTACTCCGGCTTTCCGCAACGTTTTCGGTGGACGGATCCACGGAGAGAAAGAAGAATTAATGAGCTTTCAAGAAATACATCATACGTATCATGCATGCGTCCGTAATGAATATGAAATCATTAAGTTATACATAATGAAATCATATAATTAACATCCCAAAATCTAGTAGGGACTAAATCGGAAATACTCAATGACCCATGTTTAAATATTTTTGAAGTTTTTGGGCTTAACCATAATTAGAGAAAGTTGAGAGAAATAGTGAAGGAAATTGACCATAGATAAAGGGAAAAAATATGACATTTGCCAAAAAAAAAATTGTCCATAGTTAGTCAACGCTTATAAAATTTAATATTTTGATCCTTTATATAAAGTATATCTTAGCCTCTCCCAATCCTAAATCTTTTCAATTTGCCGATGAGATAATAGAATGGAACGTTAATATATAGGGAGAATTGTAAATAAGTCCCAACAAAAAAAATTATTTATAAATAAATTTAGCAAAACTGTTTAAAAAATTTTAATTTTTCAGACTTATTTGCCATTAATTTTCCTTATGAAATAACCCCAAAACCCTTGGATTACCCCCTTTGATTGAAATCGATCGACCTTGATCACCTGTTAGTTATCATTAATCGGTGATCAAAGACCATCAACTAGTCAATAATTGTTATTATAACTAGTTAAAAAAATAAAAAATATTTTCATTTGAATACTAATACTTTGATGTTTACAATTTAAATTTCACAAATTTACAAGTAAATCTTTAAGATTTACAAGCCAAGCATCACAAATGTACAAGTAAATATTAATTATAAGAGATTAACTTGTAAATATTTATACCATATTTGATTTGTAAATCTTGCTATATTGAACTTTTTTATAAAAGACATTTGACTTCTACATATTAAAGTTTTCTTAATAAAGTCGAAGGACTTACTTTACTTATAAAGTAAAAATATGTCTCTTATTTAAAATTTGCGTGTTACATGCTGCTTATTGATGGTCATATTGGCAATCATGGACATGGGCCTCTAGGTCTTTATCTACGTGCTTTGCGCTCCCATCCCGTTACAGCCACTTCCTGAGTCCTCAATAGTCAATATCCCCGAATCATGCCAGGGAGCCAATCTAACTTCAACGCTGCGTTTTATGGCAGTCGATCCGCAAAGGATTGATCAAAGAGGAAGCATTCATGAGATGTGGAGCCAAGGCGAAAGGCAGGATATATTATTGGTTACATATATTAATTTTGAAAAATGTGAGAGAAATGAAAAGGGGCATAATGGGAAACAAGAGTACATGATTGAGTATGGACCACATAGGCCGATGATATCAGTATTGCTTTCTGTATTCCGAATCATCTCTTTCCAGATTGTGGTTAGATTTGTTCACTTTTTGCTTCCCCGACCACCTTATCCAAAAATAAACAACAGACTCATCTTTACTTTTTGTTTCCTATATTCATATTTCTGCTCGTGCCATGCATCACCTCATTCCCCAATCTTGCCCTTCTTTTCTTCACATCATTTTGTTAACCCTCTTTTAAAATCTCATCTCAACTCATGAACGCCAATCTATCAAAACCATTCAGATTTAACATTATTTTGCTTTGATATATTTTTTAAAAAAATATTACTTTGATAAGTACAAAATTTAAACTAAAATTTTTTATAACTGTCACTAAATCAAAAAATCAGCGCCATGTTGCTTTGATCACCGAAACTCTCGTTCCCTTTCCCAACTAACACTCGCTGACATTTCAACGCCCCAGTAGTTTTTTTCTTTTTCTTTTTGATAAATAGTAGTTTTTTTCTTTTTCTTTTTCTTTTTCTTCTTTGTTGGTATTTAGGTTTCATTCCAAATCATTTTTCTCATATAAATCGAGTACCCCGCTTATTGGTACCCACAGGCACAACTGCTCTCAAATCAATTCATTTAATTATTTATTATTAATTGATGTAAACTAAACCATTTATCAACTTTGATGTACCATTCATTAAAATAATATCTTCCACATACTTTATTTTTTAGATCATGTTTTTCTTTTCTTCCTCCTGAGCCGATTCAGATCATGTATTTCAAACGCTTTTTGTTTATCTTCAATTCTCATACGCAAACCAAAAATAAAAATCGTAAGATATATATATATATATCCTTTTTAAATTTCTAATTGCACTTGCTTCATAAAATTGATGCCATTCTAATCGCCAGGAACACATTCATGATCTGCAATATAATACTCTCTCTGTTTAAAAATATAAGACATTTTTTAAAGAGTCGGATGTTCAAAAATGTAACGCATACTAAAATCTTGTGAGATGTAATCATTATTTTTAAAAAAAATATCCTTATTAATAATAACTTTATATTTATTGTAAAATATTTAATAGAAGTAGATATAAAAAGATAAAATTAGTTTAAAAATATTAAAAAATAAAATTTAATTAATGATGCTTTACATTTTTAAATAAAAAAATAATTAATAAAATACTTGTAATAATTTGACTACACATGGATCCTTGATTGATCCAAAGATAAAAATGCGCCTACGGCCATGATCATCATTCCTTATGCTTACCCTTTTTGGTCTTTATTTACTTAGGGTCACAATGCCGTCACTAATAGAAAACACCTAGAAAAGAAAAGGGTAAGATTTTCAGGCTGCGGGAATTAAATTCAGGATAAAAATATAAATTTAATCATAAATTATTTTTAAAAAAATATTTAATAATTTATATTATAGAATAGTGTAAATTAAATCATCAACTAAAAAAAAAAAAAGCAATCAACATCTTTCCATCCGCGTAAATTATGTCAGTTTTATTTTTAATGGTAGGGCCCACATCCATTACGTCATTGGTCACCCTCTTCATCTCCCTGCCACCCTGCGTCCCTCTCATTAGTCCACTGTCGGAACTTGAAAAAGGAAGAAGACGACCGTCTCCTCACTTATATTCAAGCTCATGACGTGGGCTGCTAACACTCTCTTCCCAAAGTTGCCAACCTCCTCTGCCGTGGCAAGGGTTGCCGTCTTCACTCAATCAACTACCTTCGTTCCAACCTCAAACGTGGTAATTTTACTAAAGAGGATGAGCTAACCATCAGCAGATAAGCTAATTAACAACTTGAAATGTGATATGCCACCAGTTAACTGACTTGGTCTAGCGGGTTTGATTATTTAATGGGTTTGTAAAATACTAAACCATGTGAGTGTAGGTGGTCACTGATAGCTCGGAGATTACTGAGAAGAACGAACAATGACATGAAGAATTACTGGAACACTCGTATAAAAAGGAAGCTTCTGAATAGAGGAATTGACCCTACAACTCACAGGCCTCTCAACAAGGCTTCTCAAAGCCAATCACTTGCCCCATCTGCTTCTGCTGCTAATAAATAACACGAGTCGGATCAGATTTTGATGACAGATGCAAATTTCAAATGACCTGACGTCCTGGAAGTATGCCCTGACCTGAACCTCGAGCTGACCATCGGTCTTCCCCATCATCATCATCATAAAGGGATGAAGGGAGATTAAGAGGGTGATGTAGTGAATATAGGCCTCACTATTAAAAATAAACGCCATGTTACTCACATGGATGAAAAAGTGTTGGCTGCTTCATTTTTCATAATTCATAATTTATTTTACACTATCTTATCATATAAGTTATCAAACGCTTCTTGAAAAATAATTTATGATTAAATTACACCTTTATTCTTAAATTAATAACAACTAACAATCCTGATCTTTAATAGCCACAACTTTTTATCTCAAGAGTTTGAACAATAAACTTAATAAATATAGAGCATTTGTACTAGATAAACATGATTCATTACCTAGTACCTTAATTAGTGGAAGCATCATGAGCCCCAAAAGCATATTTCTTGAAATAAGGAGCAATTCCAGCACTTACAAATGCAGCAACATACTGGTTAACATATTTGCAGCAACAAAAATAAGGGCGCGAGAGAGGATGACATCGAATTTCAAGGGGATGTAATATTATGAACAAATTTGTGTTCATCATAGTTTTTGACAGACGACTGAATATCAGGCCATTGGATATTCGTTTGAGTATCTGGCAGCAAAGTAAAACCCCTTACTCATCATACATCATTACAACAATCGAACAGGTGCTTATGTACTAACTATAAACCATATTTGTGATGCTTTCCTTTAGTCTGATTTCTGGGGCAGCCATTGACGAGAAAATTTCTCAAATTATAGAAAAAAGGATGGATATATTCAGGTAAATGCAGGGTCAAATATGATGATCATCCAGCCTGAAAAACGCTTGAGATGTGAGTTTAAAACAGTTGGAAAATTAGACTTGTCGATCCATCCCCAAAAGTCCGCAGGTCGGCAGGTTTTACCAATGCTCTGCACAGAGGGCAAGTCCGTTCTCTCTCAAACCTGAAGAGTTAGTTCGGTCAAGAAATGAGTAATAGATGTGATTACAAGTAAATTTTAAGTAAAGTAGACTCCAATTCAAATACTTCATCTGCTTTTATTTATAAGTTACTTCTAGCACGTCTCATCAGAACCAATAAAAACTTTAAACCTCATTAACTTTGTCTTAAAATTTAACAAGTTTTCACCTTCACCTTTAATAAATATTCTTAAATCTTATTATTGATATTTTTATTTAAAATATTTAATAAGGACAAAAATGTAAAGAGAGGCATTGAAAATTGGTAAATGCTTTATAAATAGGATCAAATTTTTTCTTCTCTCTCTATCCTATAAATAGGACCAAAGGAGTATATGACATTCATTTATCTTCATCATTATTGCTAGGAAGTAAGCACTGATGAATCAGTGGCAGCAATCGAAGTTCTATTTCCTAGGAACTCCAGCCATTGTCGAGAATACAGCACCAACACAGACACCACGACACAACAAATTTGAAGACGTATGCGTGAAATTTCAAGTGTTGCACCATGTTTTGTCTAACACAAATACCACTCCATTTCTTATTACAAGGCACCTCTAACCACCTCATTGGAACTAAAAAAAAGGTGATGGAGTCATTAATTTTGTATGAAAATGGAATAAATTTTCAATTTTACCCATATTTAAATGTAAAATTTTCATACTTGCATTACTTTACTTTCTCTCTTATAGTTAATGACTTTACACAGGGGTAATATTGTTTGTTCAAAAAAAAAAAAAAAGACAGGGATAATATTGAAAAAACTTAATTGATGTCTCATCAAGTGGCTTATAATAAGGACCATTCATTTCTTCTAGAAGATATTTTTATGTGCCGAAGGGAATATCTTAGTGTGCTGCATATGGACAGCCATGAAATCAGTGTGCCCATTACTTTTTTTACTTTTTAACCCCTAAAATTACCAAAGTAAAACTCATTATCATTCTTATTATGGTTATGAATATCATAACATAAAGAAAGAAAGGAGGTCCAGTAGTAACTATATAATCGTTTAAAAACTACAGGAACTAAAAATAAAACCCAAAAAAAACTACAGGGACCGATGATTGTGTTTTCTCTCTCTGTTTTTTTTTTTTTTAAGTTCTAGATGAAGAACAGAGGACTGACCATTCGGATACGCACTCTTCACAGAAAATGTGCTTGCAGCGCAACAAAACTGGAGCATGCATCTTCTCTTGACATATAGCACATAGGTCGCCCGCAGCGTTTACCTGCATTTATAATTCAGAACTGTAAATATAACAACTGCCACAAAAATCGCTTCAATAAAAGTACATTGATATTGACACGGTTTTGATTTTTCTAAAATGCAAAATTAGGAAGAAAGGACTAGTAGAGCACAGAAGCAAAAGATAATGTCATGTAACCTTTGTCAAAAGTGAATAAAAATACCACTTGAAGAAATAAGGCACGTTAATGGAGTTGTTCCATCAAGTTAATGGAACAACACCATGCCTACTGCAGATCACATGAAAATTTAAAAGTGCCAACTTCAAGCAGCACTGTAGAGAAGAAGAAGAAAACTCTATCACATAAAAATGAAGCTTGGCAACGACCAAGTAGTTAAACACTTGAATAGTGCGCACAAATGCAGAGAAATAAATATGGTTGCGGATACCATGAAGTAACAACCATGAAGAGAAGCAGGAAAGAGATAAATAAAAAAGATCACGAAAGATTCACAGAAATGTCATACCCCTCATTCTCATGCTAACTTAAACAACATGGAATACCTTCTGAATTTTTAACCAGTTTAAACATCAAGGGAAAAAAAAACAGTAAATGCAGATATAAAAGTAAACTTGCTTTGGACTTGTGATTTGAAAACATAATTTTAGTAAGTAACCTATTCACACAAACACGTGGTTGAATATTTAATTGTTCATTTTGATCCTTTATGCTTCTTTGATATTGATGGATTCATAGTCATGACTGTTAACTAGATATCTCTCCCTTTAGCAATGCACAAGACAGAATAATTCAAAAGCTTTGGGGTGATTGTACTTACATTTCTAACATCTAAAGGAATAAAAAGTTGTATGGAACCTAATGAAATCTATGGAGAAAGATTGAAAGGAAAAAAAAAATTGCACAGAACCCAAAAGTTCATAACTTATAAATACTGTGATTCCTTATAAAGTTTATATTTTATATTGATGCTAATGTTGATTTTTATTCCAATGGAATTGTAGACAACAGAAGCATTAACTTAGATAACTTTATTCTTAGATCATTGCAACATATTATTTAAACAAAGCAAAATGGCTAACCACATTGAATTATTTTTAGTTCACTAAAATTAAAATGGAAGGACCAGTCATTATCTCATGGATCCGTAGTTTACAGACTGAATTTTAAATAATTTTAATGAATTTAATAACAATAACAAACCTTATCCTACTAGGTGAGGTCAGTTATATAGATTGTACGACGCCGTTATGCTCTATCATTTACCTAGCTTTTAGGAATGTTATTAACTAAGAGGTCTTGATCAATAACTTCTAATTTTAATGAATTCAAAAATAAGAAAATTCTAATTTTCTAAAAAAAACATAGTGGCATGTAAGAGATTCTCCATTTCTCTAGTGGATGAACAGATAGAAGCAAAACAGTGTAGCAAAGGATGGAGAGAAGTACAAGTTTCAATTAAAGCAACTCAGTTCCAGAGTCAATCAATGCAATCAACAGAAATGTGAAAATTTACCTGTTCCATTGTGGCATAAATTCCATAATGAACTTCCTTTCTTGATAATGCTTTTAAAGCAGAAAAGAAGCATTGAACCTAACAACCACATAGGAAGTTAGAGACAATGGAATAAGCTAGCTCCATACAAAATATCTGCTTGCATAGCACTAAGAAGCCTAATCTTAAGAATGAAAATATACCTTCTCAATAACAGATGTTAGCTTGAAAGTTAAATACAATCCTGTTGTCAGTGATGAAAAGAGACTCCCATAATCCTTGTTTAAGAAAAAACGGTACCAAACTGACGTGGGCAACAAGGCACGATACAGCAGCAATGAGTACTCAACCAGAGTCAACATTTGGCCCTTGAAATAATTTAGCAACTTTCAGTTAGTTGCAGAGGCAAAATAGAGTTGAAAATTGTATGCCTGTTGGAAATAATAAAGAAGCTACTGCTCACCTGCTGGCGGAAGTTATGACCTCTTCCATTTTTGTAAAATATAAGCAGCAAACACTTGAAAGCCATTGCTACTTGCCTCACCAGTGTATCTGAAAAGCATTAAATATGGTGATTGTGAATACCAACAAAAGTTAGAATAAATTTTGGCTAGAAAATCACCAATTAGTCAAGGCACAAGGAAACAATCAACCAACCCAAAGCTAAAGCAAGGGAATATAACTCAAGATATTCAGAAAGATATCGTTCACGATTACATAGCTGAAAAGATAGCAGCAAAGCTGAAAATAATTCATGAAACAAACATAAAAAAATAGCAAAATATGATTCTGACGATATGTCAAACATGTACATGCACACTGAAATTGAAATACCCATGGGTTTGGGTTTTCTTCAGGTGAAATGGACTTGGTCTGTTCAGAAATCAGAAGTGATAGGCTGAGACCAATAACCTTGAAGAGAAGCTTGACTCAATGCCCACAGTATATTATCATGATTAATTTATTTCACCTAGACTGCATAATTTCAATTTGTGTGTTCACCAATTAATAACCTAAATTTCTAACTTAATCATATATCATGGACATACATTGCATTCCAACTACGTATAAAGATGGCCAGTATAAATATAGGGTATAGCAATTAAACAACTGAAAGCATACTAATTTTTCATTTAGGGAAAATGCTGGATTCTGGTACTAAATAAATTCATACCATTGACCAAAATGATGAATATGGCATGCCAGAAAGGAGGTGCTGATTTTGGAGGAATCATGATGAGGGGGTATAAAAGATCATCACTTCGATACAACCAGTAAATGCACATCACGTGAAGCATGAAGGCGAAAGAGATACCAAAAAGAATTGAGACTTTCCTGTCTCCCTGCAAAATAGAAATTGTATAAAACCTCTTTTTTTCCCTGTAAAGAAGAGGGAAGGGGAAGTCACATGTAAATAATTAGAGGAAAAAGGATCAAAGGACTTGTAAAATCTGGGCAAAGCACCTTCAGCGCTGTCTGCCTCTTAACAATTTCATTCGATTTGAACATCACAGCTGAAATCCAAATCGTGATAAAAAACCCTGCAGGCTCTCAAAATTGAATATCAACATATGATATGGAAAGAATCAAAAGTAGGAATTGGCAATGTCAAAGTGATGCCTTCGATCAGGATAAACAGCAAATGAAAGACAGGTACAGCCTAATGATTGTCAAAAACCTCCCCCAACCATTTTTTGTCTTTCCTAACCCTACCCCAGTTCTTTTTCCTTTAACCATGTAGCTTAAACCTGAATATAATGAGCTGTACAGATATTAATTCATAAAAATTTCAGTTTCTGTTTACGCACAAAGCCATGCAAACTCTCTTTCCGGCCATTGTTCCACCAAGCACAATTCCTGAGAACAGTCAAGATAAGGCTTCCAACACAGCCAAGTTACTTGAATGTGATATCATTTGGGACGTCGCAAAGAAAAGCATACCATACAAATTATATATAAATTTGGTCCAACCATATCATCAAGTCTAGCTTATCTTATTTATAAGTCATAATTTCTACAACGGAACAGTGCACATGACAAGTAAAAAGAAATAAGGGAAAAGCACATTTCTCATAGTTCCGTTGAAGCATTCTAGGATCATGAAGCCATAATGAACACAAAAAAACCATTAAGCAGATGCACAGGATTTGTACCTTGCAAATGCTGGCGAATGAAAACAACCAATAGCAACAGTGAGAAAGGAAGAATCTGCTCAATCCACTTAGCAGCCTGCTGGATATCATACCTCTGGTAAGAGGATGAATCCCCATTGTTAATTTCCGAGGCATTCCCAGCATCTTCATCCACGTGTCCACTAGCGGCAGATGTAGATGAAGACACTAGAGGGACTCTTCCATTGCGAGCCTCCGCATCGTCATCCAATGCGGGCATTCCTCCTCTATTTCCCATCAAATCAACATGATCGACTTGTCCAAGCTGATTCAAAGTGGGAGTAGAAAAGGAACCTAACGCGACACTCTGTTCTTGTTCTGCAGCCCCAATGATTCGTATTGAAACTTCACCAGTACTGCCACTGCACGCGGCACCGGACTCGGAAAGCTGAGAGCGTGCTTCCGAAGTGGTAACTCCGTTGTTGACTGTCAAGGCCCCTGAGTCGCGGGCTGGCGAACTTGAGCGGAGAATGCCAGCGTAATTCAACAAAAGAGAAATTGGAGAACGGAAGGAGCTGACAGGGGCTAACCTCATCCCGTGCCAGGCTTCAGTAAAGGCACTGCTATTACTGTTACTATTATTTACTCCAACAGTTGAAGAGGAGGAAGAGGAAATGGCGTATGGTTCTGAATTAGCACCCGATGTTTCCATTTTCGTCGGAGAATTAAAACACTGATCCTCACCTAGCCTCCTTTTTGGTCCTTATATCTTTTTCAGCCAATGTTCTATTTGAGGAGTTTCTCCCCCTGGCGATCACTGACATAGAGAAGATGAAGATGGTTTTTTTAAAGTCGATAATATGGCCAAGAGGATGACAGAATTTTTTTTTTTTTTTTACGTTAAAGCACAAAAAGAAGAAAAATCCAAGGAAAACCGATAGAAGGAAGCAATGAATGAATAGAGATATATTACCTGACGAATGAAGAAATAGAAAACAAAGCAGCGTTTAGCGTATTGAGATGTGAAACAGCGTTAGTGCCGGGGAAAGAATTTAAGCTGAGGCAGAGACGGCAGAAGAAGCAGAAGCAAGAAGAGGAGAAAAGTCAAGGTCCCAGGAAGGCGCAACCCTGAAACCTCCTCTTTATTTTTTATTTCTTCATTGTGGGGGTGCTACTGCCTACTAGTTTCGGATTTGAGAAAATAAGAGGGGCAATAATAATAATAATAATAATGTCTGTCGCTTGGCGGACGATAAGAAACGCGTTTATTAAATAGGCATTATCAGGCACTTTTTCCCAATTCACCATTTCAACGGGTGACGAGCCGTGACCCCCAGCCTTTTCTGTGTCTTCTTTTTCTACCCTTCCCCGAACACACTTTGATATATTCGCTAATCGGACGTTCTTCATTGGTTTATTTTTCTTTTTTCCCGTCACAGTAGTTTATTTGAAGTAATTGTTATAGTAATGCATAATTAATTTATTCAACATATCAATGTAGGAGTCTAATATCGACTTCGATTTCATTTTTAATATTATTTTATTTTATTTTATTTGAACTTTTAACTTGACTGTAGCAATTTTTATATTTATTGATTACTATGTTCTAACACTGAAAAATCGAAGGATCAGTTATAACCTTAAATAAACGAAAAATTACTTCAATAGAATAAATTAGATTAAATTAGTAAGAAATTAACTTGAAACAAATTTACCATATCATCCTAATATTAAAAATTGAAATAAATAATATCACGTGTTTACACTAGTAACCAGAAACTTGGCCAAAGTTTAAAAATAAATAAATAAATAAAATCGTCATCGAATTAAATAACCCAACAAAGTTCAAGTAGTGCATCAATCCGAAAACCGACGGACCCTTCTTTTCGGCCAAACTGATCCAAAACATAAATATGACAACTCATTGACATTGATCACTGATGATTACGGAGTTGCTATTGACCAATGAGCGAAAATATCAAGGACCTTATAAATTAGTAAATATCCTACCTATTTACAAAATCATTTGATTGATTGTCCGCAGTCACCGCCACCAGTGACTGCGACGAGCACTTTGCCATTAACGTCGACGTTTGCTCTAAGCCCTCATTTCAGAAAGCAAAGACACAACAGAAAAAGATTAGAATAGCAATAAAGAAGCATGCTATTATTTTCTTTCACTTTCCCAATACCACTAGGATCATGGGTTACAACTAAATATCGCAACGCCGATGCTATAGAGGAGAGAAGTATGGATTGCAAGTTCAGAAGCAAATTACACGAGTGAAACAGAACATCTTACTTGTTTGGACAAACCAACATAATGCACATGGACCAAAGAGCTAATTAGGATCTACACCAACAATGCGATAAAAAGCAGGTGAGACGGCTGGTTCAGGCAACGCAAAATAGCAACATGATCTACATTTCATGGCTTGTTCATAATACAAAGACGGAAGAGAGGAGGGAAAAGATTTGCATAAACATGCAGCTCTATGATTCATTTGCCCTTCCAGCTGTCTTTCCGCTTCCGTATCTCTCTCAAAGCTTCAACAGGAGACTTGCACCCCACCTTCTCCTGAAATGGTTGGCATTTTAATTATCATTTCAACATTTAGACGTCAATTTCATGTTAGAATTCAATTTAGGGAGACCAAAGGAATGCCAAAAAAAAAAAAAAATCTTCTTTCCATTTCTTAAAGCCTTCCTCCTCCTCCTTTCCAAAAACAAAACAAAACAAAAATCTTTCTTAAAATCTTCCTATTGGCCCCTTCCATTTCTTCTTCCCCAACGAGGGGAAAAAAAAAATCTCCTTCCTCCTCTCTGAAAAGGGGACGGGAATTAATTAAGAGGGTAGTGTAACAAACCTGAAGCTCAGGCAGATCAACCCTCATGAATGGATTGGTTTCCATCTCCTCCTCAATGGTTGAAGGAATAGTCGGTTGCCCAGCTTGCCGTTGATTCTGTGCCCATGTTAATTTATGTTCCGTCCTCAAATTGTTTGGCTCAACCGTCAAAGCAAATTGCAAGTTTTTTACTGTGTACTGGATAAAAAAGAACCAAACTCAATCTATCATGTCGATGAACGTTACAAGAACGCTTATAATACTCCAAATAAGCAAACAAGCATTTCAGCTATTTTGGAGTGCACTGCAAATTGCAGCAGCATAAATTATAGCAAAACATCCTATGATAACCCATTCCCTCCATTTAAATTGTTTTTAACGCCTTAAACTAAACTGTGTCGCTGATCTCATTTAAATTAGAAACTCTATATATTTTTGCATTGTTCTCTGAACTGATAGATCCAGAAAGAGATTTTTTAAACAAACTCACTCATATCAAAATAGATCATTATCTTCATCTCCTTCCATTAATGTGGCATCTTAAGTTATGAGGGGCACGTTTCAAATAATATTTTGAGTTTAAAGGGTAGTTTTTTTTTATTTGGCACCTCATGGCCACAGTAAACTCGGGTTGGCTTTGGCAATGAACCCAATGTTACACAGAGTGACTGGTGCATCTGCTCCGCAGTTCCTTCAAAAAATTTCCCACAACCAGCAATGAACTGTAAACAAGAAAACAACAAAAATAAATTTAAAGATATGAGCAAAACTCTTTATAATGGATACATTCATTTACATGGACTAAGATATTATATGCTTTCATTGGAGTAAAACATATAGCATACTCTGACACCAAGCTCTTGGTAATTGGAATAGCTTTTAGAAATTAGAATAAATTCATTATATGCTTTCATAGAAGCTCATTTAATGACAAGATGAGATTGACCACACAGCTTACCAGCGTATCTCCAGTAAAAACAGCCGGGTGCTCATCCCCTCTGCCAGTAACATAATAACTTATGTGGCCTTTGGTATGGCTGAGAAGGTCAGGAAAATACCCAATATTAACAAATGAAACAGAAAAGTGTTTTGAGTAATCGTGAAGCTGAGATTTAACAACTTCTTCAAACATGATTTATGACCAATCTCTTGTCAAAAAATCTTTCATATATATATATATATATATATAAGTAGAACAAGAATAGCACAGCAAAAATTAAATCACAAACCCTCCACTTTTGAGTCTCTGTGTGTGTTGTGTGTGCACGTGTTTTGTTTGGGGGGGGTGGTGGGGAGTCCAACAGCAATCTGCAGTTAACAAGGCCAGTAACCATACCAAGGAGTGTGTAGGGACAATATACTAATATCAGCCCCAAGGAAGACCTTATCACCATTGTCAACTTTATCAGTGCATCCCTTCACGTTATCCACTGAACCACCATAAACCTTGATTCCAGGAACCAGCTGCTTTATCATATCATTTCCACCAGCATGATCCCTGACAAATAATAACGCCAAAATGAGAAATTGCGTCTACTAAGATTCAGATCTCTTTTCAATAACCCAAGTATAATAAAAAAAAATCATATATCATTACTCAAAATGCTAAGCCTGGCGGGACAACTGAGTAATGATAAAAGAGATCGAACCTAACACAATAAATGGACATTTGAAGAGTTTAAACTGCCACTTTGAGAATCTTTTGCCCAGCCAATTTAACCAAGTTTGTTCCCAGGCACTTGATTTCTTAAAATTATTGAGGATTCAACTTAGGGCACTATTGCTTCAAATCGATAATTAGCTCCCCCAGTAGACAATAGCAGATTCCAAAAAAAGATACATCAATATCTTAAGCACTAAACAGCCTAATCAAATTACATCCAATGAAATTTGAAAATCTTGAACTTGCAGCAGGGAATCTGGAAGTATGCTTAAAAATCCCCAACAAAATATCCATGATCCAGTATAGAATAAGCACGATATATGCTCGACCGGATAGATATTTGTTCTTAAAAAAAATAGTTGCAGTACCAGTGATGGTGCGTTGTGAGGACGAGCTTGATATCGACTCCATGCGAATTAGCAACTTCGAGAACCTTCTCCGGTTCTACAGGGTCCACTACTGCACCTTCTTTGGTACTTTCGTCAACAATCCTGCAAAAACCAGTTCAAATATTGACAGGGACAAAACTAAATAAACAATGCATTTGAGAACCTTGAAAAAGCAAACTGAAAGCTGTGTATGTATTAGTCATTCGAGGCACTCATGGGGGGCCGGACAGCGTATTGAATCGGGCTTACAGGTACGAGTAATTATCTTCAAGGCAAGGAACATGATAGATTTTCATAACGTCTTCGCAGGAATTACACGAAAACCCAGCTTCGAGCCTCCGAGTTTTGTTCTCCGCAGCAAACGAGGTGAGGCGAGGAGGCGGTGTAACCGTGGAAGGAATGACCAACGTGTTACGTCGTGTGGCCGTGTCTCGGGTGGGCACTTTACCGGAACTATCTCATCCAGATCTAAATTTATTTAAAAAAAAAACTTAATGAAAAAATATAACAATAAAATGAACGTTGATGATTTAAATTACGTAAATGACGTTTTAATCTCTTAAAATGCACTAACTTTTTTAAAGTTTTTAGATATTTTTTATCATTAAAAATTAATATAAGTAATTAAGTTACTTTTAATTTAAATTTTAATTATCATTCATAGCTTCATTTTAAAATTCATAATTTTTTTATTAAAATCATAGGAATTCAACGGTATTTCATAAGTTTACATTTAAAATTTTGATATTTTTTAAGTGTTATAAATATTAATTTTCATTCACAAGTTTCATTTTAAAATTTATAACTTTTTTTTCTTAAAATTATAAAAATTCAATAACAAATAACAAGTCTGTGTGAATGTAATAATTGCAACACTTGAAACATATCATAATTTTAAATGAAAACTTATAAATTATTGTTAAATTTTTATGATTTTAAAAAGGAAAGTTATAAATCTTAAAACAAACTTATGAATTAATATTTGAATTAAGAGCAATTTAATTATTTATATTAATTCTTTGATGACAAAAAACTCTCTAAATACTTCAGGAAAATTATGATATTCAAATGATAAAAATGTCACTTACATAATTTAAAAGAATTTTTATGTCATTTTTCCTTTGCGTTTTATTTTGTTTTTAGTTTTTTACTCATTTGTTTAAATATAAGCATCTTATGTATAGACGGTAATTCAAACCAGTCCAAAAAAAATTAAGTCGAGTTTGGCTATATAAACTTTTTTAATATAATAAAATACTTTAAGACCAACCTGAATTAAGCTAGGCTCAAATAAGCTTGA